TTGCTTATGCATAGGGGACCTTAGCAGTGGGAGGAAACCGAAGGGCCCTGAGAAAACCCATGAGGTTGGACAGGCGACCTTACTCCTTGTCGTGTACAACCGAGGAATGGAAACTACGCCAGTTGACTCAATGTCAGACCTTATTATACAGCGCGCATGTGCTAACCGTTCGGCCATCTAAACCCCCCTGAATAATGCTAAGAAAAAGAAGTTTACTGGACAACAACATTTATACAAATTCCAACTGCCCTAGGTGATCTTTTTTCCAAGCACCACCAAATCTTAAACAGAATATATCTGTAGGCTTTACCAATGACAAGTGGTCTTGACAATATCTTTTCTACTGATAAACCTGGAGCATTCTAGTTGTGAGTCTAAGAGTCCATGATGAATGAAGGAAAACATCTTGCATGAGAAACAATTTAGACTTGGAGATTAGAGTGTATCATCTCTTGTCTGGATAACTGACAGTCATCACTTTCCACATGCTGCAAATAATCCTGTTATTATTTTATTAGAAAGCTCTGTGTGATGCATTTTTCCGTTCTTGACAAAACATTTTGTCAATGTTTTTCATTGCGTAACTGTAACTCTTCTGCAGTTTTATTTTCAGTGATATCCTTTCCACATGTGTTTGATATAAGTTTGGTCAAAATCTTGTCATTCTCTAGACAGACATATTTTTGTTGTAACCTTTAAGCCTTCAAATTTTGCACAAGGGAGACATTCCTCACAACACCGGCCATGGTGGATTGACGAAATCTGGCGTTGATAAACGAGATGATGGTTTATTTTTAACGACACTGACACGCACCGCATGCTAGGGTTAGGGTTAGGGTTGGGTTTGGTCCAAAAATTTTGAAGTCATGTGCAATTCAAACTGATTGACCCCATGAGGAATGTCTCCCCGGCGACCAAGCTTAAGCCTTCAAGAAAGTAATAACAAAACAAAACCTCAAAACTAGATAAATATTCTTTATCCGTTTATTGATAGATGTTGGTTGAAAAACTTCCTCAGGATTTTCCACTGTGGGGTTCCCCTTGTCAGTGGTGCAGGAGTGTTTGGCAAGGAACTGTGTCTAGTTGTTTGGATGGGATGGAAAACTGAGGACATGTTTACACAGTGGAGTGTATGTAAGGGGGGTCTTGATTTTCTGTCAAATCCAAACGACTAGGTAACACTTTACTTGGTTCTTCTCAGAATTATAAGGGAGCCGGGAGTAAGATGTTGGTTGGATGGAATGGAAAATGGAGGTTCTGTTTACACATTGAAGTGCTTGTAAGGGAGCCTTGATCGTCTGTCAAATCCAAACGAATTGGCAACACTTTACTTGGTAAGACCCGCAGGTACCACCCCTGACAAATGGGAATGGGTCTTCCCAAGATTCTAAGGGAGTCGCAGTGGCTCAATGAGTAAGATGTTGGAGCTGTAGGACAGAGAGAACGAATAGTCGTTTGGATGGGACAAAAAAAACGAGGTCCTTTGTAAAAGAACCCTCTGGAGTTGGAATTCGAGTAGGAGTAGGTTGTCCGGGCAAAATTTCCATCATAGCACACTGTATGGGGTATGCCTGTCTTCATTAGCCCAGTAGGATGTTAAACCTCATTTCATTTTATTTCTAAGATTCTTATAATCTAGTTCCCTATCCAGGCCTCTACCATGACACCATGGGATTCTTCTTGGCCTAGGACAATATTCAAACCTACATCATTCTAGTCAAGAGTCAAGTTCCCTCTCCACACAACTACCATGACACCCCTGGGATGTCAACACGATTAACACATCTGTTAAAGAGAAAAACTATAACCTGTAACAAGAGGCTGAGGTATTTAAATCTATAAATAAATACACAATCCACTACCATTTCACCTATAGTTAAAGATAAATGTGAAGTGTCATCACGAAAATAGGACAGATTCATTTTTTACTACAATCAGACAGAAATGTACCCAGTTAAACTGGAAAATAGTTTTACTATAAGATAAGGTTTTTATCTCCTACCAGCCATATGCTTGTTAGTTTGGGTTACACTATCCATTATTTTAATGGTCCGTATTGACGCCACTCTTCTTCACAAAAAAACGAATCCCATTAATGATGAAAAATGCTAACAGGGATTAACTGTTAACAGTTTTTAATTTCTAAAAGAGAGGATCGTAACAACATTGCTCATCAAGCACTACAGCAAATGATTCAGGACTGTCTGGTGGAATAAAGAATTATAGATTAAAACATAAAAATGCCAAATTTTTAATTGCTGTATGTCCGTGCTAAGGAAGTGCTTAAATTTTTCTTCATACTTGTATTTCATTTTGAATTCGATCCTTTGCTGAAATTGACTGTCCCATTTGTCGAATCAAAATTTAAAAAAAGAGCATTATGGTTTTAAACATAAAAATGCCATGTTTTAATGGCAGTTTGTACTGCTTAAATGGTGCTTCAATTTTTCCTCTCCTTTGTAGCAAAATATAAGTTAAATCCCTTGCTGATATTTTGAAAATTAATGTCCCTTTTGTCGAGGGAAAGTTGTAAAATACACAATATGGTTTAGATTAGATCATAATGGCCTGTCATTGAATCAAGTGGCATGGTTTCAATGACACTGATCTGCAGTGAATATTCGCTAGGCCGCGACAATCACTGATAAGGATGACATCGATGCGACTTAATGAGCCACAAATATTAACTTTTTTCCTCCGACAAATTAAATTCTAAAACATTTTTTTTATGTATTAGAAAAATAAATAAAGACGTTTGAAGTATTTGTAGGTAAATATTATTTCCTATTTTAGTGTAAATGGGTATTAAAATGAGTAAAAGGCGCCATTCTGCTTGAATCAGTAACGTCTTATGTAAACAATGCACGCGCCATTGAGCCAATGTTTGACGGCGCGTGATATGACGTCATGTGTTGAAGGCAGTCATCTTTTACAGAGATATTAGACGACTTTTGTAATACTCTGTGAAACAGATTGGGTTTCAATCTCGGTCATTTGTGACAAGGAGCAAACTTCATAAGTTTCTCCAAGTTCTCCACTGCTTAACCCCTAAAGATCACCGAAAAAGCTTCATAATATTTGGGCATTATGCTAGTAATTATATGTCAACATATCCTTTCCATGAGTATAACACGATCCTGAATGTCAATGTTACCTGCTCATAAATATATAGACTAGAATATAAGCAGAGGGACTAAAATTACTTCACAGCTTTTTTATTCTTCTTTTAGCGGCATTTAGCAATTGACATACGTAATAAACACAAAAACATAATATGGAACACAATTACTATTTTAATTTCAAAGCGACGTTTCGTTGAAAATGTTGAGAGACCCCTCAACGAAACGCCGCTTTAATTAAAATAATAATTGTGTTCCAAATTATGTTTTTGTGTTTAATAGCTTGTTTATTGGCGGAAAGTTATGACTACTCACAGAGAACGGCGGAAATCGCATACGTTGAAATTTACCTGTGGCAGGTAATATTGACATTTGTGATCGTGTTATACTTATGGAAAGGATATATTGACAACATAACAACCAGAATGGCAGCAGACCATACTTCTTTCCTTTAGTAAAACACCATCTATCGAACATGGGAGTTAATTCTATTAAAACACCAGGAAATAAATACAATCAGTAAATCCGGAATATTCCTTGTTCGGTGTATTGAGTGCTTGTGCCGATACCGGAATAATTCATATAACCTGCAAGCAAATTATTGAAGACCTAGTTTGTGTGGAGTTGACTTAAACCCTCCATCTCTCTCTCTGTCTGTTTCTCTCTCTAGTTTATAAAATGATAAAAATGTAGTTATGAAGAAGAAGAAGAAGAAACTTTATTGCATAAAAAACCTTATAAGGTTATGTGCATATACAAATAAAAATAATAGAAATATACATGAAACAAACAAAGGATACATACATGGACATAATTATACAAAGATACACAACTTGACAAAGATATGAACGAATTGTTGCAAAAAACTCCTAAACATTTTAAAATTTCTATATTTTTATTCATCATCAGTATTTTAAATGGTAGTAAATCATTCAGTTTATAAAAATTTGGTTCACCAACTAGAATTAATCTGAACAGCTCTTTTCTTTTTTTCGTCATGTCTTTTGCAATTTGTTATGTATATGTAGTGTGTTTATTTATAACTATCCGATTATTTATTATCAAGCTGATTTGTTTAATCTGCAGACCTCCACCTTTTATCTTCACGTAGAGATAAGAAAAAGGGAAAGTTATAAATGAAGTTGTAGGTGATAATTAATTACCTTGGATATAAGTCTTCAAGTTCAACCTGCTGATAAACTCGGGGTCTCGTTTTATCAATTATACATGATATAAATCACACTCTTAACACAGTTATCTTCTCTTGAATTACTTTTTCATATGTCATAGATATTTACCAGTTATCACAGAATTGAGAGATTATGGGGGGATCACGTAGTAAGATGCTGGCACGCGAGCCTGGACGTTGGGAGTCTTCGGTCCCTGCATTGGCCGAGAAAGTTATCCCGATTTTCCGGCATGGTTTCCCCTTGTCAGTGATGCAGGACGGAGGGCCTGACATAGACAGCTGTCTAGTCCTTCGGATTATACAAAAAACCGAGGTCCCGTGTATACATTGGAATGCATGTAAAAGATCCCTTGGCAGTTCGAATTCGATATAAGAGTAGGCGATAGTGCCGCTGCCCGGGCTAAATTTCCCTCATAGCACACTGTATGGCGTATGCCCGTCTTCATTAGCCCAGAATAGGAGCAGAACAGTAGGATGTTAAACCCCATTTCATTTCATTTCATTTGATTCTCATGGGTTACTTCATGAGTTGAAAAAAATTTGGGTTCTCACTTGTCAAAGTTATTTCTTGAAGAGTTTTCTAGAGTATGTTGGGTCACATGGATGAAACAAAATAGCTTTGATTATATAACCAAGTTTCTCCTTCCATGCATTGTACATGTAATTATTTTTTTCCTACTTTTATTTTTCAGATTATTTAAAATATGAAACTTGTGGTTCACAGTTTCAGTGTGATAATAAATGGTGTGTGGATCTCGATCTTGTCTGCGATAATATAGATCATTGTGGAGATTATTCAGATGAAACAGGCGATGGCCGTGCAAAATGTCGTCAGCAAGGTTGGTGAAAATTCAAACTGATGCACTTATCACACTCAGTCTAATTACACAGTACTAGAAGTGATGTCTTCCCGGACAAGTTTCTCGTTTCAATCACTTATACCTGTTTACACTCAAGGCAACTTTTTTTCTTTCTTTTTTTTTTGCCTTTAGAAGGACACTTTGTTTTACACAATGCACTAGAAGAGTTATTATCACCTCAAATTAGGTGAGATGTACAGTTAGACCAACATTTCAACCAAAAAGGTTAAAGGTCACAGGGGTTAATTAGGTGCTAATAAGAATTGGTTAGGCCAATACATGACATTCATTGTAGAAATATAGTATGAGCGTATATATCATGTATACAACCTTGTGGGTTTTCTCCATGTAAAATACCCCTGCATGCAAACAAATTATTGAAATAAGATTGAACATGTTAGGTACTAGTTTGGTTTGAATAGATTGAGTTAGCCCATAATAGGCATAGCGTACCCCATAATACTTAAATTGCTTTGAGTTAAATAATCTAGGTGTACACATATAGTTCTTTGATTGCTTTGAGTTAATTAATAGTCAGTGTAGAGTACCCCAAAATAGTTTGATTGCTTTGAGGTAAATAGTAGTCAGTGAAGAGTACCCCAAAACAGCGTGATTGCTTTCAGTTAATTAATAGTCAGGTAGGGTACCCCAAAACAGCTTAATTAATAGTCAGTGTAGAGTACCCCTTAGTACCTTGATTGCTTCATGGATTGTATTTATGGATTAATATTAACCCAAACTAGTACCTTTTCCTGAAAAATCTCTTTTAACTGCCTGCAAATATCTTGTTGCTCTCCTCCACCATTCTGCTCAATATACCTAATATGTTGATTGAATTGAGAAATTCAGGGGACAAAGCTGTTAGATTTAATGTCAGGGCACACTGACAAATAACTTTATGAATATATCCAATTTTTTCGGACTTAAATTTGAACCTTGTACACTTACAAAACAATACTTAAAAAAGCATATCCAATTCATATGACTTTGATTGAACCTGGTTGTCCAAATGTAAGCCCACAATTTAAACAAAAATCAATTAAGAAAATCGATGGTAATCATTCTTGTCCCCAGCAATTAGTGGATAACACTTCATCAGGTTTCCATTTTATAAACAGGACATTTTGTCTCTGATATGGAATATTCATGAAGATATTATTAAATATTCATGGAATAAATAATTTCTTATCTCGTCAGAACATAAGTCTGGTCTTGACACTATAAGTTGGATGTTCAAGACTATGAATTTGGTTTATAAGATTACTGTTATATAGACTTGGTTGTTCCTCATCAGATCTGAGATTTTGGGCTGACAGATACCTAGTTGTTCAGACATACAGTCTCACATCTCTGATACAACTGAGTGCATTGTGTGTGAAACAGCTTTAGTTAATGTCCGCTTCCACAGAAGTGATATTGCGGACAATTACATTATTAGGTGATATTTATTTACATGTATGATTCAAAGATGTATCAGATTGGTGAAAACTATATATATATATATATATTTTAAATTTTTGTATACATTATTATTAATATCTGAAGACAGCTAGCTTACATGGCTTGATGTATGTCAGAATGAAGTGAAGTGGTGAATTTTTTACTATGATGTATTTTTTGATTTATTTATGAATTATCTACCATAAATATAGAAGTACTTGTACTTTATCTTCTTTAATATATACTAAACAAGGATGAACAAGTAGCATATAAAAAAACGTGCATTTTTTTTTTTCAAAAATATATTCCTATAACCAAACCAGATTTTGTCAAAATTCATCCAGATAAGGAATATATAATGTTTAACAAATTGTTAATGGTCATCAAACTGTCATTAATAATTACTAGAAAAATCATTTAAATAAGACACAAAATGTACTGAATGGTTAGCGTGTGTGTGCTGTATCATAAGGTCTGTCATTGAGTCAACTGGTATGGTTTCGATTCCCCCCCCCCCCCGGTTGTACTTGACAAGGAGTAAAGTCACCTGTCCAGCCTCATGGGTTTTCTCTGGTTTATTGGAAATAAAATTGAACCATATGTTAGTGTCCCGAAATGACCTAGTTTGTGTCGAGTGAACTTGAACCCCATTTTTCTCTCTCTCTCTCTCTCTCTCTCTCTGCTTACAAGAATTTCAACTTTGTAACCTTATAAAAGAAAGCCTGATATTGATAATGGTGTATGACCATGACTTCAGTAGCAAGAGTATGTTGACAGCTATCTGATCATGTTGATAGCAGTAGAGATCTTTCTGAAACTCAGCTTGATCTGCCATTTGGGTTGACAGATGCCTAACCATTCAGTGCTCAGACATTTTCTATCATCGCTTACACAAGTTTAGTGCAATTCTTAATTGAAAAAGAAAAGTGTATTATTTATTTTTTGTAAATACAATACGGCCAAGAAAAATAATATCTGTGTTTATGGTTACTTGGCCCGAAAAAATAGGGTCGACCATCAGAAAATCTTTTTATTTTTTGTGGGGTTAGTAATATCTATTTACTAGCATCTATAGCTTAATTACTGAATAAAGTTACTGAATATAATATTGAAATTTCATTGCTGGAATTTGTCTAGAGAAAATCACGAAAAGATTGAGTTTCAGGGCCTGGCAAATGGGCAAAAAGTTTTAAGGTTGACTGTATTTTGCAAGGGCTTCCCATATCGCACAGATCATGCTTAGGGACTTGAAAATCAAAACAGGAATTGATCTCTTAAATACAGTAATCATTACTCCCAACCATCTAAAGCTAAATTTGCATCAAGTTAAACTTTTAAGAAAGGTTGAGATAATCGTAACTAATTTCATAAAAATTTATAATTTTAAAGTTGATACGTTTCCTGGCAACAGGTTCCAGTTTCATCAATTTTAACGTTTCTACTAGGAAAAGAGATGGACGCTATGAATATTTTTACGTTAATATTTCTAATTGCACACACGGTCTAATGTCATTGCTTTAAAAAAAAAAAGTTGCGCCTTACTTCCCCAGACGACACTGATCTTCTTTTGATAGGGTAGGATTAGTAATGAATTCATCAAAATCCGGTGACTAATCCCAAGAAAATTATGAGAAGATAATTCACCAAGTTCATATTTCCCGGAAATTGGAGAATACACATGTACTATTTTCTTTATTCCAAAAATTAAAGGATAATTTATTAAAGTGACAAAAAAAAAGCTAAACATTCACGATTGGGTCTTTCAATTCCTAGAAGCAGACGACTTAACTCAATTCCGCCAATCAGGAATTTCTAAATTAGATTTAAGGTGACTCAGAAAGGATCGTGTAAGTCGACTAAACAGGTTTTTAACTCGATTTGTTTAAGGCAAGACATTTAACAAGACATGTACTTCTCTTGTTGCTTTAGCTGCCATTTTGTTACAGACTGGTTGTTAGAGTCTTGCATCCTATTAATGTATTGTCGTCAAGACAGTTGTGATGAACATTTCAATTAACAAAAAGAAGGAAATCTTGTTTGTTTTTCCATTGGTCATCAGTCTGGATGTAAATTCTATTAATAAAAACAATTAACAGTGTCATGGAGCAACTGCTACCCCATCTTCAACATTACAGTCAAGCGAGAAATTAGCACTTGCATTTTAAAAAAGCTAATTGGTTGGTTTAAACAATATTTATTTCATAAAGTTGAATGTACATAATACTGAATCAATGCTTATAATATTGACAAGACTGAAACAATGGGGCGTTGGGTGGCCGAATGGTTAATGTGTGCATGTTGAATCCGAAGATCTGTCATTGAGTCAAGTAACGTGGTTTCGATTCCCCGCTTGTCCAACCTCGTGGGTTTTCCCCGGGTACTCCGGTTTCCTCCAACTGCTAAAGACCCCTACACAGAAGCGAATTATTGAAATAATATTGAACCATATGTTAGTCCCGAAATGACACAGTTTGTGTCGAGTGAAAAAAAAATGAGATTAAATGAGTTTAACTTTTCTACACCTACCGGGCTAATGAAGATGAGCATATGCTATGCAGTGTGGTGTGAGTAAAAATTTCGCCCTATCAGTGGGACTACATCAAGGTTTATTTTAGGTGTTCACCAACGTGTACTACTACACAGGTCCTCTGTTTTTTTTCCGACTGGCGTGGTTTCGAATCCCCGGTTGTACGTGGCAAGGAGTAGGGTCGACTGTCCAACCTCGTGGGTTTTCTCCGGGGCCTCCGGTTTCCTCCCACTGCTAAAGACCCCTACGCGCAAGCGAATTATGTAAATAAAATTAAACCATATGTTAGTCCCGAAATTACCTAGTTTGTGTCGAGTGGACGTTAAACCACATTTCTCTCTCTCTCTCTGTTTTTTTTCCCCATATGAATGACTAGACATTATCCATTGCCAGGAGCTCCCTCCTGCACCACTGACAATGGGAAACCACACTGGAAAATCCTGGGGATCTATTCGAATGCCTATAGGTTATGGTACATCATTAATAATAGACATTGCACAACTATATGGGCATCGACAAAACAGTACATAAACATGGGAAGATAGAAAGTGCCAATAGTGAAAAGATAATATCTACTAAACATACATTATGCAAGAGCTAAATCTGTCTATTGCAGGTTATTCTTTAGGCCTGAAATGTTATCTAAATTATTAATTAGACATCAATTAACTTATCCAGGCCATAATCAACTCTAGATGGCATCGCTAGCCTGCGATCTTTAGTGGATTATGAGCTGATTTATTGCATAACTTTCCTTCATGATTTAACGATTAAATGGATAATCGAGACTATTCTGTTTATCGCATTGACTTTAGTAATGATGATCGAGGCAAGGCGGAAATTTCAATCGCTTAGTTCTCTGTTCATAGTGGATCAATTTTAATGAAATTTTCAGCAAATTGCCTTTACATTACGTAGTTTTTAACTAAAATTAAAGACTTGTATCAGCCTGTCCAGCATTAATTACTCTCTACGTGAATGTTGCTGTACTCTTTTCCTGTTTCTAGTTTTT